GCAATATGAAAGTTCGAGCAAGTGGGAACTGACAGAACTCCCACTATGGAAGAAGGAATTACATGAAAAGTGGGTGCACCGTGTGAAGACTACGTTTGATGGCAGTAAGAGGTACAAGGCTGGACTTGTTGATGCAGGATATTGCCCATGTGGTGAGAGTTGCAGACAGATTCATGAGTAACCCAGAAAAGAGTTTGGAGGTACAATGCTACATTGACGTTGATATATCAACTAAAGGTGTTACTGTTGAGAAACTAAAGTTATGTGCAGCTTCAGTTGGTCTTCTAGCGTGAAAACAAAGGCTTTGAGTTGCAGAGGTGAATGATATCTTGTTTGAGAAAAAAGACGGTGCGGTCAGTGGATGTTGCAGCTAGTGTTCCAGCCTCCAAGTGGAAGAATTGTAGAGGAAAGTGGAGCTCGACCCACTATTTCGATTTGGCAAGAATCTATTATGAAAAATTATTTAATTATTAATTAAATATTTACTTCCTTAAATATTTCCCTCCAAGACAATTGCTTGAAAAGCTTCATGCAGAATCCCGTAAGATCCTGGAAATCTTCCTCTTATTTACTTAATTAGCTTCGTCTGCTTCTTATAAAAGGCTAAACCCACCTGCTCTCCAACACAAACTCCTCTTCAGCTGAAGCTTGAAGGAAAATGAAAAAAGAAAAGCTTTTGCTTTCGGTTTCTTTTCTTTGGCTAAAAAAGAAAAAAAAAATTATTGTGTTTCTTTCTCGTGGCTTTGAGAGTGAGGAAGGAGATGTGAGAAAGAGGAGAGACAGGAAGAGAGAGAGATTGTTTTTTCTTGTAAATGTCGAGACACTCAATGTTGTAATTTTTCGAAGTAATAAAATCCTCTGCAGCTTCGTGGACATAGGCAATTTGTCGAACCTCATAAATCCGTGTGTTCCATTGTGTTTTCTTTTTTTGTGATTTTTCTCGATATGGTTTTTCGCTTTATTGTCGTCGTTTTTTTCACAACAAATCTATCATAAATTAGTGATTACAGACCCAACTTTGTGTTCCACAGACAGGAAAGAACTACATAAGTCTTCAAACTGATGCAATATTTACTGCACAATGATCAAGAGTGATTGCACTTGGGAAGAGTTGTTGGAACTCAACTACACAGTCTTTGAGGTGAGTCGTTACACTGTGTATTAGACGACACACTACTACATCGGGTGCTTCGATGTTCTGCAACACACATTGCAACTCCTTAAGGGATTTCATTTGAAGGAGCAAGTGTTGACCAATAGTGGTTGACGGCGGTCAGCGGCTGTTGATGTTGTAGATGTTCGTCGGACATTTGGTGCAGAAAACGGGGGTTCAACTCCTCCTCCAAGCTTCGATCTTTCAATGGCTCGATGTCCCCAACACCCACACACACACCAAAAAATGGGGTAAGCCTCTATTATAGAGTATGAGAAAAGTATTATTGCATGTAAGAAAGAAAATTCAGACCACGTCATTGGACTGTTCAAAGATCCCATCGATCAAATGAAATTATAGGGAGATTTGAATGCCTTAATTAAGTTGGAATTGAGTAATCTTGAACTCATTATATTCGTTTCATTGAGACACTCAATTCACTTATAAGTTCGTCATATTTGGAATCAATTTGGCCTTCAAATTTGGCATTAAAAGCTTATAAAAATAAATTAACCACACAATTTCGGTTCGATTTGACTTAGATTGAATCAATTTTTGTACAATTGTGTTCGTCTTGTCGAGCCGATTAGTTTGATTATAATTTTACATAAATTCAAGTTCTGAATTATTTTTAATTAAAATTTGAACGTCTATTGTATAAGAAATTATGATGACAATTTCTTGATGGCATGTCACTACTAATTTAATAATGTTATATATATATATAT